GACAGGGTAGCTTACGGGTGAACGAAGATCGAGGGTTGGGGGGAGCTTGATCAAATTTGTAGGGTAGCTTGGTGGTGGTTCGTTCGGACGAACGATCAAGGGGGGGGGGGGGGGAGCTGAATCAAGGAGGGGGAGGGTAGCTTGGATTCGTAGGGTAGCGATGACAGGCAAAAAAGACAGGGTAGGGTAGCTTACAGATGAACAAAGATTTAGGGCGGGGGGAGCTCGATCAAGGTGGTAGGGTAGCTGAGATAGTCGTTCGTTCGGACAAACCATCGAGGGGGGGGGAGGGTAGCTAGTTGGATCAGTAGGGTAGCGAGGTGAGGCAAGAAAGACAGGGTAGCTTACCAGTGAACGAAGATTGAGGGCGGGGGGAGCTCGATCAAGGTGGTAGGGTAGCTGAGCTAGTCGTTCGTTCGGACGAACGATTGAGGGGGGGGGAGCTGATTTAATGAGGGGGAGGGTAGCAATCAGAGGCAAGAAAGAGAGGGTAGCTTACGAGTGAACAAAGATCGAGGGAGGGGGGAGCTCGATCAAAGTGGTAGGGTACCTTGGCTGGTGGATCGTTCAGACAAACGATCAAGGGGGGGGTAGCTGATTCAAAGAGGGGGTGGGTGGCTTTAGTCAGTACTAGTAGGGTAGCGATGTGGTAGCGATGAGAGGAGAAAAAAAGGGTAGCTTACATGTGAACAAAGGGCGAGGGGGGGGGGGGAGGACAAAAGATGTGCTGGTAGGGTAGCTAACGGAGTTGGTCAACGCTGAACAAGGCGGGGAAGGGAAGCTAGCACTGCTGTTCAAGGGAGGTGGGGGAAGTTCGGAGAATTGAAGATGGAGGGGACACATGGGAGCAAGGTGAAAAAAATGGTCAAGTGGAGGGTGGCTTAAATTCCGGTGCCCCCCCCCCTTACCCAAAAAAAAAAAATCACAATAAAAATGGGGCTGATCCAGAACTAGACCCGTCATGAAAGACTTCAATCAGGGTAGCGTTAGTCATGTGGTCAGGGAGGATCTTAGACAGTCCTTCCAGACCACATGCCAGCGCTACACTTTTGTGCCACGGGTTCAATTCCCACATGACACACTCACTTGTGCGGCAGTTACGCTACACTACAGAAGCATTTACGCTACACTACAGCAGCAGTTACACTACCTTTGTAGCGTAACTGCTGCTGTAGTGTAGCGTAATTGGGGATTAGTTACGCTGCATGTTAGCTGCACCAACAGTTACGCTGTTGGTTAGCGGAAATTTTGTTAGCTTGGAAAAAGTTACACTACAGGTTAGTTTAGCGGCAATTATTTCAAGCTAACACTAAAAAAAAATTGAGGGAAAAATTTCACGCTACGCTGGCAGGTAGCTCAGCGGTGTGTAGCGTGAACTAACACTACAGGATTTCTAGAAAAAAAAAAGCCACTACGCTAACAGGTAGTGGCCAAATAGCGTAGTGTAGCGTAGCGGCCCACCGTTGCATAAAGTGTTTGTAAAAGTGACTGGTTTCTGATGGTGGATTTCCTATATTTGATACCCCCTAATATTGATGTTTTTTGATCACAAGCACTTTGAAGCAGGCTCCATGCAAATCAGACAGTCACCTGCCATGTCATCTCTTTATGACTTTAGTGGTAAAAAAATTAGACTCTGTTGCTATCTACCACCAAAAGATTTTTGCCTTTGGACCCACTTCTTGCAATGTCTACTGTGTTGCTGATGATCTGTGCCTGACCCAGAGTGAACTCTGTAGCTGCAAAATTGTGATGTTCTTGGCTCACAGACACAATGACAGCTCACTATGATATGTTTGATGTTTTTGAAGTGAGGTCTCAGAATCATGGCATGTACTAAAGATTCAAGCTTAACTAATCCTCTCGTGACAAGAATCGTTTGCGGGAAGGTCTGGGCCGCAGCCCAGTCTTGTCAGAGAGGCTTACATATTATTACTCAAAGCTCCCGTGAGGCAGGCCTGTTTTTGAGGCCTGTTTTTGCATTATCGCATCTGGCTTCCATGCTATTTTTGTCAAACATCCATTGTAGCCTTTTTCTTGTTCTCTACCATCTCGTTGATCTTTCAGAATTTTTTTATTTGTATTTCCATGTCAATCTTTTCTTAAAAAAACAAACAAAAAAAGAGAAATTCTCATTTTTCAGGCACACAATATGCTTATACTGAGATTGCGCTTGAGCCTCTCTACCAAATTTGCAAATCAAAGTTCAAAATCAAGAACTTCCTTGCATATTTTCTACCAGATCCAAACTGGTTTTTGCAATGAAAAAAAAAAATTTAAAACTCCAAATTATCAATGGTGGGCTGCTACACTAACCGTAGCGGTTAGTGTAGCGTAACACAGCAGAATTGCTGTTAGCGCTAAGTGTAGTGTAGCAGAATTCCGCCATGACACCGCTAACGCTATGCGTGTGGGCCGCAAAAAAGGGCCCACCACGCTGCGCTACAGCGCTTTTAAGATGTTTTTGGCCCCTTTTTCCGCTAAAAGTGCTGTAGCGCAGCGTAGCGTAGCAAAACAACGCTAACACTACACTTTTTTGATGAAAAAAGTGCCGCTACGCTGTGGTGTTCTAAACGGTACAGGCCCCCTCAAGGTCGAATTTCAAATTTCAACTTTCAACTCTTCAATATCCTCAAGACTCAAGATTTCAATATTATCACCTCAAATCCCCACTCAGTCCAATGGTTTCCTCATTTTATTATTTTATTCCATTTCCTCTTATTATTTACTCTTCATGTTATTTTTTTTATTCATCTTGATTTTATTTTTTATCATTTTATTATTCTTACTTATCTTTTTCAAATCACCTAATCAGAAGACAGTCTTGTTTAATTTTCTTGGTCCTAAGACATCTTAGTATGTTGGTTTATTTCACTCTTGATTATTTTATTTCATTTTGTTTTGTTTTGTTTTGTTCTGTTTTGTTCTGTTCTGTGTTGTTCTGTGTTGTGTTGTGTGTGTAGTGTAGTGTAGTGTTGTGTTGTGTGGTCTTGTTTTTGTTTTTTGGTTGAGTTGTGTTGTAGTTAGGGATGTGATGACATGTCTGTGACATGTCACTCCCCAGAGTCAAAGTTCAGTTTGAACTGAGATGATGGGGAAGCATGGCACTCTGATCTGATCCAAGATAGACCCATCAATTCTGATTGATCTTTTCATTATTGATTCATCTGATCCTCATACTCACCTTCACAGATCCTCAACCTCAACAACCGCCACAGAAATCGAATTCTGTTGTCTCCTCTCAGAAAACCAACCAACCCCAACACGTTTTTGTTCAGATCACAGCTCAATTTATCCGGACCCCACTTGAAGGCAGCCCTCAAAGCACTTTCCCTTCAACCAACTGCCTACCGCCTGGCGCGATAGGAGTTCCACAACGCTACGCTTTTTGGGCCAAAAGCGTAGCAGCCCACCGCTGCAATTATGTAGACCTTTCCTCCACATGAACTAAAAATAAATCTGAGTTGTGATGAATGAGTGGCGGGGCAAACAAGGTTGCCACCACCAAACCCGTGTTTCTGCCTCACACCGGGAAAGCGTTCTAAGTTTCAAGTCCCTCCCTGCAGGAGGGGGCGCTTCGCGCCCAGCCAGTCACACCAGCGAGCCTCCCACCAGGGGGACTTGTGTTAAGTTTGCTAAAGATTTAGAGAACTCATTTGGCACAGCTGGCTCCCAGAGCTTGTGGTAACCTTTTCTGGGCTCAAAGTATGCAGCTCATCTAGTGACATTCCGGAAACCCGTCCATGCACAACTTTACATGTTTTTATTTTTCTATTACAAAAAGGAGGAAAGGGGCGAGGGAGTGATCAACTAACTACCACTTGTTCCTCGCAGTTAGCCAAACCGTTTCCGGAGCGTTCGAATTTTTAGAATTTTGTTTGGATTGAGAGGCAGAAGGTTCTTTGATTTTCCGACAAAACTTGAGGACTAATTCGTCGAATTTTTTCTTCATGCCACCTCCAGTAATAGGAGTCAAGAACCGTTCGATTTGATCGATCTTCCATTTAGGTTGGATTTCAAATAGCTGTGACATTCTCATCTTGGGCTCCAAAGATAGCTTGTCAATTGGAATCACGATTATATTCTTCTGATCGTTAGATAAGATTGAATGTGATGATAAGCTTTCAATCGAGCAATGTTCGGAGAGACCTTCGGGTAATTTCGATGTCCAAGTCGCCAAAAAACTTTCGACGTTCATCTTTTGAATGTATCGATGATCCTTTGGGTTATGATTTGATTCTATTTTTGTTGGTTTGATGCATAACAATTGTGCAAGACCAATCGAGTTGACGACTTCTTGTAATTTCAAACTTGCATTTTGATTTGGATCGAAGGAATCATACGGTTCATGAATCTTGAAGTCTATTGAAAATTTGTGTAAAATCTGTAGGAGTGCAGCTTGATGAATATCTAGACGAGATGTGATGATATCGACTACTGGTCCGACAGCAAATTGTTCATGTGGACCAACCCCTAGCTCATCCAACGATTTCAAGATTCCTGATAGGATAGTTGACAGATAGCCCAAGCTAATCATTCGCAAGGAACCGCCAAGCTCGATGACGTGCAACTGTCTCAGGTAGTCTTGAATTTCAGAATCGGATGCCCTAATCTGTTGGGACAGGAAGCTCAAAGAGACAGGTATTGGAGCGTCGGTCGAATCCGAGTCTTCTGCACGTCTTACAGCTTCGTTGGTTTCGCCTGAGTAGAGATGAGGTTGAAGCAACTCCTTGATCCTGTCCAACCGACTACCTGGGAAGGACGTGACATCACTCAATTCGATCGTCTCGTGAATCACTTTCAAGACGGTCAAGCCCAACTTCTGATTCTCGTCGTCCAAACTGCCGGTCCCACATATCATCACACTGTTACTATTCTGTACCGTCCGAAGCTGAAATGTTTTATCAGGTGTGGTAAGAACTACTTCGTCGTCGTTTCTTCCGCGAAGCTCCATTTGTAGATCGGCATTCCCTGTGTCGTGTCCCTGGAGTTGTTTTTTCACTGGCTCCAGTAGCTCCGGCGGCAGGTCTAGTAAGAGATAGGAGGTGTTGACCAGTTCATCGTCGTCCGTAGGATGTATGTTGGAATTAAAAATCTCTTGATGGTGGTTAGGCGATGCGAATCTGATGATGTGAGGTTCTTGGCTTGAGGAAGTAAGTGTCATCTCGTTTGTTTGCCGTTCTCTGGATACCAGTTCGTTTGAGTATGATGTCTATAGCAAAGTCTTCCTTTTTTTTTGTTCCTCCTTGTCGAGCTGGAAATTGGCAAACTGTGTTTTTATCCGTCGGACCAACTCTATCCGACTTCGTCACTTCTGTCACCGGGCCATTCCCCGTGGTGGCTATGTTACGTAGGCTGATTTTTAAAGTTTGTGCTCCAGGTCCGGGGCCGAGTCCGATTCCGAGCGTCGATAGCCGCCACATTGCCACTCCGATCATCGATGTCGTCCTCACGGGGGGTGCCGTAAGCCGTTCCGCCCGGCTCCCCTCCCTCTGGTCAGTTAATTGCGGCGACGGTCTCGCCTCTCCGCACTCTCAGTCTGGTAAAATTTTAGCCCCGGACAGAAAGCTTTGTACCTCGGTCATATCTCAACGGGGTACGGAAGCCCACAGGGGACTCCAATCGGCTCACACTTTTGCAAAATGAAAAGTGAAAAATGAAAATACAGATTTCTGTATTCCATTCAAAATACAGATTTCTGTACTTTACAACTTCAGAATTCAAACGTGTATTTCAAATCACATAGTCTATTATGTGTTTTACCTTCTGGTAGCGGAAACATGAGAACAGAATTCTCAGATCAGGCGGCCTGCTCCTTGAGCACAAACATAAGGAGGAAAGTTATATAGCCCGTGAACGTCGGACTTCCACATTGAAGTACAGGCACGGACTCTATATCGATAGACAACTATTCACAGGAGACTCGGCACATATTCGGGGGTGACTTGATGAGCAAGATGAGCAGTGCGCGTTACGCGAGGTCATCTCAGACGGGGATCTGGGCAGAGCTTCCCAAGAAGCCGGCGATCTCAGCATTCTTGTCGACCGACAAGCTCCTGAGATCGTACGCGACGTAACGGGCTACAAGAGCCCCCAAGCCGTCCCAGAACTCCTGCACAACTGCGAGGTGGAGAAGGACTTCTCGGTCGGCGATGTGGGGGGTGATGGTATTCAGCGGGCCCTCTGGAGGAGTGATTAAGATGTCCCCCATCAGCCTGGTTCCCGCCCTGATCGTCGAGCTCATGGCCGTCCTCTTTCTCCTTGCCCTTACTGCTGCTACTAGTCCTTCTACGATCTTGGCGACATGCAAGCGGTTCTTGATCTGGTTCATCGGCTTCTTGCCGCTCAGCGAACTGATCATCACGTGCGAGCTTGCCCGGTTTCCCGACCCGGCTGGCTCCTTCAACATCCGCTGTGGGAGTGGTCCCACCTTGAGCATCCTTGGTGTTGCCCCAAACGATTGGCTCTTCAGCTCCTCTCCCTCCAGGCTCCGAGTCAGAGCCCGACTTCTTCTTCCGCTGCTGTTGTTGTAGAATCGATGATCGCTTCAAACAATATGTATGTATGTAATAGACAATGTGATTTGGAAATACATGTTTGAATTCTGAAGTTGTAAAATACAGACATCTGTATTTTAAATGGAATACAGAAATCTGTATTTTCATTTTTCACTTTTCACTTTTCAAAAGTGTGAGCCGATTGGAGTCCCCTGTGGGCTTCCGTAACGGGGCCTACCTCAGACAGTTCAGGCTTGCCCTCTGCCAGTCGTCTAGTGAGGCACAGTGGCGGACATTGAGAGACCACACGTTAAGACGGTAATTCTGCCGCCAGTCTACTCGGCTTGGTAGGGAAGGTGGCCCTATCGTTCGGATGTTCAAGTTCTCTGGACTCAATCAGCCAGACAAGCTTCAAGGTTATTCGAAACTCATCTAGCGGGTCAAGGAGCGACCTGGAAGAAGCGGAAGATTGAATTGACCGAAACACTTGCAGCAATTGAAAGAACAGAACACCTTCGGGCACCGAACTTGGGGCTTCGGCTATCTCTGTCAAGCGACATGATACACATATTTACGAAACTCGTCTGGGGAGCACCCATGGAGTCCCTCACCCTACATGGGACAACATTTCTACTTCTAGAATGCAATATAGATCTCGGACCCGAGGCAGCGCCGAACGAGCCCGTATGTATCAGGGACAGGGAGTTAGCCTGAGCTCTTCATAGCAAAAGCGGGCTTGGTGTGTCGTGATTCCCTTCGATTAAAATCCCAATTAAACTGCATATCCGTCTGCCTCCAGCCGTGACGAGCTACCATCAGCCTTTAGTCTCGGTCCGTCGCGACTAAAAAAATGGTTGCCCCCCATCTTCTTAAGCTCGGATGGCTCGTATTAAGCTCCAAAGCTCTAGCCTGGCCAGGCTTCAGTAGGATCTCGGATAATGATGGCCTTCTCTCGGATATTGTTGAATCAGCTAAGAAGACTCCATCCGTGGAAAATCGCCAACCGTCTGGGGGAACTCTGAGCTTGCAAGAAGGTAGACTGGATCGAGCACCATCTGCAGATGCCTATCAGAAACATTTGATCCACCCATCACAAGACTTCTCCGCTGTGGAAACCGACGTCCGACCAAGCAGTCAACCTGGCAAACAGAAAGGTGTGTTTAGAGGATGGCGCTACGCGCTGATTTAATTGTGAATGTAGTAGTGTTTCAGCTGACAGCTGGACATCAGGTATTCTTGACAGACAAGAGCTGATTTTATCAAAAGTGGAAAAACCAGATAGCACACAAGGGATGAACACTGCCTGGAAATCTATGTTTGATCGAGGAAACCCATTCGAGTATGAACCTATGGAATGGCCCTTAATTGGGTCCAACAAGCAAGGTGAGCAGGCAGAACACATCCACAATATTCCCATCGAGCCGAATTTGCGGGACTGTCTGACGTCTTCTATTCTTGCGACCGCCTTCAGATTCAGAGTCAAGACTATTCAATCACCAGGCGGAAGCCTATCATCAGCCCTCAAAACCCCCAACCGCCCAGACATCCTACACCTCACTTCCACAAGCTCCTTGGCACGAAGGCCCACGTTTTGAAGATGCCGATGTCTTAAGAGAACCAATCCATTCTAATTGGCCCTTAAAACCAGAGCCGATATTTGAGCATCCGATAAATCACCCTCTTCATTCAAGCAGCTGGAATTGGGACGCTTCTTGGCCTATAGCATCGAATTTTGGAACCTATCATCAGCCTTTAAAACCCCCAACCGCCCAGACATCTTACACTTCACTTCTACAAGCTCCTTGGCACGAAGGCCCACGTTTTGAAGATGCCAATGTCTTGAGAGAACCAATCCATTCTAATTGGCCCTTAAAACCAGAGCCGATATTCGAGCATCCGATAAATCCCCTTCTTCATTTAAGCAGCTCGAATTGGGACGCTTCTTGGCCCATAGCATCGAACTCGGAAAGCTTCAATGACCAACACAGCTCGCCCTTCACAGAGCAATCAATAGCCGGGCCTAGGTTTGAGCAACCAACAATTGAATCACCCAAGATCCATCATGAGCCTTCCGGTGAGTAACAACGAAGTAAATTGTATCGCATCCTTTCTAGTCGTTCAAATTTATCCTACTTATCTCCTCGCGTGAATTCAATACATTTCCGATGAATCATTTCACCTCAGAAGCTATCGAATACAGCAGCGCGAATAAACAACCTGTGGTTGAGGACTACTCAGATCTGTTCGTTGATCATGACCACTCGCATACTGAAATGCGCAACAGAAATGCCTACAACCTGAAGAGAAGAAAACAAATTGCGAAAGCCCGTCAAAAAGGAAAGCTTGTCATTGGACAGACAGATATTCCACTCGAAAAAATTAAGCAACTCATCTCAGTGTCTCCCTTTCCTAAGGCAAGTATGACTGACTCATTCCTGGAAAGTTTCGCCGATAAATTCAGACTGGAACTCCAGAAGAATTTTCAACCGCACAAGGTTATGCAGGAAAAATATGCACAACATACCATTGTGGGTTTTCCAGCCGTCATGATTCCACGTCGTCGGAAACAGAATGAATTCATAATCCGGCCTCACGACAATCCTGACTTACAAAAACTCAAGAGACAACAACACGCCAGTTTGACGTTCAAAAAACTGATACGGTGGCTGCTTTTTATCGATACAGCAATATCAAGGGAAATCAATGGAAAGCTCCCTGAACAAGATGAGAAATCGTCTCTCAGAGAATTGATTGATTGGCTCTGGAAAGAGATTTTCCATCCAACAGAAGGAAGTCTTCCTATCTTTGGAATGGTTCGACTGAACACCCCACCTGCACCAGGGAAAGCGTTTGGGCCGGTTCAAACGGTTGTGCTCAACTTTCTTAGCAAGGAAATATCAACTGAAAATATTCTTCGATGCTGCACTGAGATTATTCGAATTTGGAACCAGAAATTGAATCCCATGGTTGCCAAGCTTCTTTGGCCTGATGAACGTGTTTTAAATTCAAATATAAAATCAATCATTTTCAACGCACTCGTTTGGGAAATGAAAATTGACAACTTTGAGCGAACTACCGACGAACCAATAGATCACATTGGGAATTTCGAAATAGCAAACCTGGATTTTTACTTTAGCAAAGCTCTCCAACCAAAATCTTTTTCTCGTGATCAGCCAGTCGCTTTGGGAATTCATGAACAGATGATCGTGGATAGTTATACAGAGTCCAGGAGTGGTTATCATGTACGTATGAAGCAAACTCCCGTTGGAAAGCTTCCGCTTAAATTCGCCTCAGCAGTGCTCAAAGACTCTAGCCTTCCAAACAAATTCATAGTCTTAGTTACTTCCAGAAAGGGAAAGTCTGTTAACCAGGAACAAATGGTGTTGAAGCTGAAATGCTTATTCCGCCATCTACAATTATGCCATCTCTATTTGTCGAGTTATTTGAAAGATAGTCCGATTCGAAACTCAAACGAGGAGTTCTTTGCTTGGCTCTCAAAGGTCTTCCTACATCCAGGAAACCACAATTATCCCATCTTTGGAACGCTGGAGATGGTGGAGACTGAAGAAACTTTCAATCCGAAAAAATTTCAAGACGTTCAAATTTATTTGATCCATTACCTCAGCGACCCGCATTCACATTCTGCGATCTGGCAGGTCTCACTTGCTCTGATCGGTTACTGGTACAAAAATGAAGACATGAATTATTGGATTAGATATTTTAACACTGACTTAAATTACTGGAAAACTTCAATCAGAATATTAAGCGAAATGAATGCTACCAAGAAGCCGGGCAAGTTTTAGCTGTTTTGTCTGTCCAGAGAGAAATTTAAAACTCCGTAATACTCATTGATCAAGATGTTTGCGTCCTATAATTTCTATATTTCCCCGCTTACATCTTCTTATCCGGTGATATCAATGAATGTTTCCGGTTGTTATTTCTGTTTCTTTGCTTGGTTGTTTTCGTCTCTCTTAGCGGCTGAATCCTGGCTGCTGGTGTTCACAGTGAGGTCATTTACTTCTTTCAACATAACATTCTACGACAGTTCTGGCCCTTATAAAATCCTTTTGTGGTTTTCCTTACAATCGTATTGAACAGCATTAATTGTTGATCTATGATAGCCAAGTGGCCAGCTTCCCAAAATTGTATTTACTGTAGCTTTTAATGTGATTCCAGTACGGATTATATAGAAGATAGCCATGGGTATGCAGCGCTCACCATCATCAAACCCACTCAGCTTGGCTTTGGCGGGCAAGTACAGCTCGCCTCAACCAGTGATCAGAAGCTTATGAGTAAAGCCACATATCTGGCTGGGACAGGAATGTTACTTTGCCTGATGAGTTTTAGTTAGGACTGCCCTCACCATCCCACAACAGACACAACATTGCAATTTGGGCCAAAGCCAAATTAAAGGACTTGATTCGCAGTTTAGTTTGGTACAGTCCTCATCTCCCCAGATCCAATTGCTTGGGATTTAATTTTGAGAAAAAACACCAAGCGAAACGGAAATGCCAGCAGATACTGCAAGTATCAAAGCTACAACTTCCCTGTTCATAACATTTCATAACTTTGTTTGAATGATGCAAATATTTTTCATTAATTCCAAGTGATTTTGACCCTGAATATCCCTATTGCTTCAGACAACTGCCAACTTTATTTATCATAAGCCTCTCCTACAGAGAGGGCAGAGAGGGTTTCATGGGACGCTGGGCGGAGGCTCTGTTAAGCTGGGGCTGTCAAGCAGTTCCGCCAGTTGCGTCAAATCTGTTGTCTTGGATTACACAGATACATAGTATAGATACGAAACGCCGGTCTCTCGTTTGGAATCCTGCCTCGTAATCAATATCAGATTCAGAGGCAACAGCTCCTGACGTTTGTGTTTTCGGTGGGGCTCCAGACAGGGTGAATCCTTGCCCGCCCGCGCTAGACTGTGACGGTAGCCGTTAGTATCACTGATTGATGTTGCAGTGGACACGTAAGCTTTGTTTCTTATATGTAGGTTCGAACGTCTGCCCGCCCTCAAGCCATGCGATGGTAACTTGAGCGTTTAGCCTAGCCAGCTCGGAATCCTTTGAAAATGTTCACCTTTCTCCTTCCCCAAGTAGGGTGGCTCCTAATCGGTTCCCAGATTCTGGCCAGGCCGGGCCTTAATGGTTTATCAAAGAATCATGATACCCTTCCCTATCTCATTCATTCAAGTAATGAGGGCCGAGTCGGGGGATCACTTAGCACGAAAGTACCAGAAATGAATTGGCGAAAGCGACCATCGGCCCAAAATCAGCAATATTCGGTCCGAGCATCGCAAGACCTGTCAGCTAAAGAAGCCGATATACAACAACCAAGCACTCCACATGGCAAACAGAATGGTGGGTTGCAACATATTATTGATGGACCCAATTATCTAAGCCGAGCGACACCGCTGATCAGTCATCCATCAACCAGAAGAAGTATTATCAAATGTAGGAAAACGACAAAAAATTCAAGCGCTGAGCCTGAGCCCTCGAGATCATTGGAAATTAGATTTTAATGCAGGTGCCTCATCAAGGTCTGAGTCCGGGGAGTGGCGCCTACCCACGTCTAACATAGGAAGTGAGTAGTAGTTCACTGTGCCGATGGAGCCAATCATGAAAGAAAGCTGTTGTATCCCATTTATAATAAGTTGGCTCGTTTTTCCCCTAGCTTCCCGGCCGTTTTCACAGTTAGGAGGATTCGATTACCAGGCCTATCATCAGCCTATGAACCCAACAACTCCTCAGTCATCGCACTTTTTCTCACCTGGGTGGTACGACATACCCTCCGCAGGCGTCAATGGATTTCCCAAGGGGGATCATGCCAGTTTGCCGCCAGCACCAGAATATAACCTTCTTTCTTTGCCGAATAAGCATTCTGGCTCAAGCAGCGCGAATTCGGATGCGTCTTCGCCCGTGTGGCCGTCTATTTTGAATGGCCCACAAGGCTCACACTCCTCAAACCAATGGCCGGGAAGACACAATTTCCAGGGATCCTCATTGGAATCAACCGCGCACAAGGACACACTTGGTACGCCGGATGTCCCTGCCTTTGATGACTTCCAATCAGCTCCAAAGACTGACTCGAGTCCATCAGCTTCCCACCCCGGCTCTGACACCGACCAACTCGGTGATGTCGATCACTTTGTCTCACAGTTTCTGGTAGATTATGACAATCCCCATGATGCGCAAAACAAACCGAATGCTGCTAAGGGCGGTGCAGCCAAGCCCCTCGAACCGTTACCAAGCGTTACTGAGCCTCGCAGTCCTTGTAAGTGAAACCCGGGTGTGATGCATGAGTATAGTATTGCTTGTGGTTTTAATACTTATGCCCATGCAATTTTAATTCAGCTCCGGGGAATCATTTCAGTTCTGAACCCATCCACTCAAGCCACTCCAACGAGAACCATATTGATGAGGATGACTTGATGTCACAGCTCCTGGAGGGATATGCCACTTTGCATGAAGAAAGCAAGCTGAACTTTCCTCATAGCATTGCATCGAACCCCACCATAAACACTATAGAGAACCATAGGGAGACACCTGGTAAGTTGAGCTCGGCATGCTATCGGTGTATTCATCGCGCGTTGAGCTTTTTCTTCTTCATGAGTGTTTAGCTCCGACGGCCGATTTTGCTTCGGACCTTTCCAACCTAAGCCACGCCAACGGAGTCCATATCGATGAGGACCATTTGACCTCGGAGCTGCTCAAAAAGGTTTACACTGATCATCATGGGGGAGAGAAACAGGACAATCCTCGTGGCGTCGCACCCAACGCCGTGCCACCAATCTTACCAGACATGGATAACCACAGACAGACGCATGGTATGTTCCACCGGGGTATCTTCTCTGACTTCCTTATCGTATTTGAGATTCCCCATCATCTTGTCTGATTGCAATCCAGCTCCGATTGTTGATTTAGCTTCGAAAGTTTCTTACTCGCGCCGCGTCAAGGATCACCATGTTGATGAAGACCATTTAATGTCGGATCTGCTGGAGGGTTACGCCATTCTCCACGAACAAAACAAGCACAACTATCCTCATGGCATTATGACCAATTCCCTGCAACCACATGTGCAGAATATAGAGAACCACAGCCAGACTCATGGTAAGTCGAATTCGCGTATATTTTATGGCTCCATTTATTACTGTGGATGTTGATCTCCATCTTGCGCGATTGAAATCCAGCTCCGATTACTCATCTGGGCTCGGAAGTTTCCAGTCCAAGACACAACGGGGACCATGTTGATGAGGACGACTTTGTGTCGAATTTGTTCGTTGATTATGATAACCTCCATAACGAAAACGACAGAAAAGACTCTCATCACGTCAGATTCAACTCCCAGGAACCTGTTGTCCAAGTTACGGAAGATCACAGGGAAGCTCCTCGTAAGTAAAGAAATAAGTGAGGGTCTTGCAGTACTTTCACCGTTGAAATTCATAACGCCTATCTTCTTGCCAATGTGACTCGGATTATCCAGGAGGTTCCAACCCCAGCCAAAGCAACGAGGTTTATGGGTACCACCCCGACTCACAGCTCCCAGTACATCATGACAATCGCCACGATGAACACGAGAAGAACGCCGTGAATGAGGCTGTAGAAGAGGTCAGGAAAGACGATCGAAATGAAAGGCGCACAATGACGCCGCCAGATAATTCGTTAGAGCTTCTTAAAGACCAGCTTACCGCGGCAGCTTATCCTCGCAAAAGCATGAGCAGGGAATTCTTGCAGACTTTCACAAAAAGATTCACTCTAGAGATCCGAAAACGCTTTGAAGCCAACAGGCTTCCGACACTGAAACCTACTAACCGTAAAATGGCAGGTTATCCAGCTGTCATGTGTCCAAGCACTACCAATGACCAATTATCCATAATTCGGGTACTCGATAACTCTGATGGGAGCGGCTACCGAACTAAAATGGGTGATAAGTTGTCTCAGACGTTCAACAAATTGATTTGTTGGCTCATCTTCGCCCACATGGCTCTATTGCGGAATGCCAGTGGAGAGCCCAACTTGATAGCCGAGAGCCTTGCTCATGAAAAGTTGATGGATTGGCTTTTTAAAGAGGCCTTCCACCCGTCAGGAGGCAGTTTTCCTGTCGTAGGAGCAGTTGAAACCGCAAGCCTACCAAAAGACGGCAAAGCGTTCGGGCCGATGCAAGCGGACCTACTCGAGTATCTCAGCCAGGACTCATCGATTGAACGACTACTCAAGGTCTCGGTTTCCATTATCCACGAATACATCAACAAAAATCCTGGCACAGTGCATCTTCTGGAAGACAAAGCCGGGTTGACGCGACTTTTGCAATCAGCTATATCGAAGGCAACTGCCTCGCAAGAGAAGGCCGACAATCCAGATCAATTACGATATCTCCACAAAGTGAACAGCAGAACACCCATTCAACTGAAGCATTTCCTAGTACCCCGCTTGAGTGACTTTCCCTTATTACTCGTCCCGACAAGGTTCGCTGGAGTATCATCAGTCACCCTAGGAAAATATGAAGCCTTGGTTTTGAAAACGTTTGTGGAGCAAAGCCGTATTCCCTCTTCCAGTACGCACGCAAAGTATCCGATGGATGACCTTCCGGTTATACTCGAAACCCCAATGAGCCTCGACAATGAAAAGACGCCGATAAAATTCACCGTCAGAATCGTACACCTTAATTGGAAGACAATCCAGAGCGATCACATGGTGTTGAAGATAAAATCCTTGTTCTTTCATTTGCAATTGTGCCACCACCACTTGCTAGATTATATACAAAACTCAGTCCAAATCAAGCCAATTGATAGGGCACACAAGTCTTTTTCTAAGTGGCTCACACAGGTGATACTCAAGCCATTGGGGGACAGATCCTACCCTCTCTTTGGACAGGTGGAAGCGGTTCGATGTCCGGACACATTCAAGCCGTCACATTTCGATGAAGTTCAAATTGAATTGATTGATTACTTCACCGAACCAAAGTCACATTTTGTGCTCTTTCGGCTCTCACTTACTCTCATTGGTTATTGGTATAGAAATCACCCCACCGGAGATCATTTGACTCGTTACTTCAAAACTGACGACTTATACTGGGAGACCATGCTCGACCTTTTGTACAAGAGAGTTTATTCTAAACGTTTGGAGTAGAACGACTTAATGCGATGTTTGTTTAGGAATACATATTAATGGCCAAATTGACACCATTTGTTACATAAATTAACTAAATTTTAATGGTACCCATCACCAATGAACACTTGATGTATCTGAAATAGCTTGGAATTATACACATATACTGAGTCAGCTTGGGTGTCTGTGCAGGAGAATAGAGTAAAAAAAGTAACTATTGGAGATCTAGAGGTGGAAGGGGTAAAAAAAATGAACCAATACAAAGACACCAATCAATTTGATGAACAAAACAATACCAACACGGGCACGAAGACAATTTTGATAGGAAAAAACAAAACAACAAACAATCCATGTGATACTCATATTAATGAATCAAAAAAGCTGAGATCCTCTTTAGACAATCCACCAGCTTGGTTAGACTTATTGGGCTGCGGAGGCCCAGGCTTAGTAGCACTTATGACTGATGTCTGGAAAGCAGGGGTCATATAGCTAGGAGCTTGGAAGGGGAGATTCTTGGTCACGTTTTGACTTGGAGAGACAGAGTTTAAAGCACCAAACTGAGCATTTGTATTCTGAACTTGTTTGTTGACATTGTGTCGTGGAGGCGGGATCAGCGGGATCGGGCCGGATGTGCTGGGTCGTGATGAAGAAGGCGGTGGGGCTAGAATAGGCACTTTTGACGATGAACTTGATGAGATAGCAGAGAAACTGTTGGAATCTCGAGGCAAGATTGGCTTGGGAATAGTACTAGCCATCCGCACTTGGGTTGAACCTAAAGGTGGAACTGACTTAGTCCCCAGAGGCTTTTGAAACCCACGTAGAGCTGCAGGGTTGTTCCCAGACGGAGATGACCGGCTGCTTTGGACTTGGGGTGAGATCTCAGCACCTTGAAAGTGAGAGAATAATTCATCCAAGTCATCCCCTGAGATTTTCTGATCAGAAGCGCCTAGACTGGCGTGTCTCGCAGAGTTACTTGGGTGATTGGACGATGGAGAAAAATGAGAATAGCTTTGTATTGAGCCTACTTTTGGCGAAGATGATAACCGTGCCGATGATGGCCTTGAATCGCCGAAACTACGCTTCTGGCGGGTTGAGTCTGGAGATAGCGAGTCAAGGAATTCGAAGGGATCTCTGCCATTGGGATAACCAGGAACGTTTGATGACACAGGGCGAGAAACGAGGTCTTTCTTGCTGATGCTGTTTTCCGAAAGAAAATCAAAAATTCCCGATTCAGATTGTGAGCTCGTATTTGTTGCAGTCCAGTTGTTCTGGTTAGCATTCTTAGCGCTTGGAAAGTCATCATACGGCACAAATTTTGCCTCAATTGGTACGGTTTTGACGTGATCTAAAAACTTGATGTCATTGGCATTCAATTCGGTCGATGGGGCGGTAATTTCACTTTGTTCATCGATTGCAGAGGTACTGATCGAGGCATGATTAGAGCGAGCTCCAAGCCTTCCGAACAGGCGTGAGATGGCTGAAGGTGCTGGGTCGTGTTGAGGGTCAGGAGAGGCAGGCGATAGAGTAGGCCAAGGGGCTGGAGGGGGTTCGACGCTAGAAACAGATCCCTTAGTCTGATTGGAAGAGGACACGGGTGTTTCCGCAACCCCAATGGGTGGCAACACGGAGGGGTTACCAGCCATCTTCTGAGTCGGTAGAGAATCAGTTGTGCTCGGAGTGGGTGGAGATTTCGACGACCAAAACCCGAAAAAACTGGTACGCTTCTTCTGTTCTTGCTGTTGGGCCGTTTTTTGAGGATCATGTACACCAAACGCTCCAGATTTCGAATCTTGCGGATGATGTGAAGCACCTAGCGCCGAACAATCGCCCCATGATGAATTATCGGTTGAATTCATTGATTTCGCGTGCTTTGAGGAATCAATCAGCGAGGATCCAATTACGGAGGATTGAGTGCTGGCGTTGGGAAATAAGCTTCTAGGGTTCATTGCTGAATTCATCGCGTTGGTGGCAGCTTGGGCAGTTTTTGACATGGCTGATTGGAAAACTTCGGCAGATCTCGCTGAAGACTCGGGTAGAGGATCCTTAGATAGCTCCCCGACATGTCCAGCCCTAAATCAAATAAAAGAAGAAGAAAAAATACAAAATTAATCTTTGAAGCGAATCTCCCCCCCCCAAAAAAAAAATCCGAAGTTAATCGATGCCTACAATTCACTACCAGCAGATTGATCATGGGCTGATTTTTGACTGTCCATTGTTTGCTTGGACAGGGCGGTCGGGGACTGTTTTGACCAGAAAAACAACGTTTGAACAGCCGTCAGCAATAATTTTACGAGGAGCTGTGCAATTGTAGACATGAAGAGAAGGCGGTCCACTGACCATTCCATCTACCCCCTGCAGCTTCGACTGACCCCAATCATCTCCCGAGGTGTCATTATGATCAGGGTCTGAGAAGTGAGGTGAGGACCAACCCTGCTGATCATTGTTCTCATCTGGTCTTGGAATAGAGTCTGAGGTCCCTAAGGACGGTAGGGAATGGTCAATGGCCAGCCCATCGTCCCATCCCCCCAGATGAGTTTCGCCATTCCATCCGGATTCAATGGGCGATGTGGATGCAAAGCTCGGGGGATCCGGCTCAGGAAAGGGGATGACCGATGCGATTGGGGGGAGGTCGGTCTGAGTGAATGTTCCCCACCTATCGAGATCGGGATCGGGATCGGGAGCGGGCTGAGTTGGATGACTAAGATCGGCGGAGATGGAAGGGGCGATGGCTGATGACGTCATCTGGATGGAATCCGAGGTAACAGGCTCGTGTAAGGCAGTCGATGGCTCATTGACGGGTGATTGGTTGGACTGGACCCATTTATCTGAGCCAGCAGAGTCAGGCGTCTTGAAAACAGATTGGCTCGAGCTCGCAGGCGAGCTGATGTGTGTATTGATGGTCAGCGTTTCGATGGGCGATGTGGCTGGATCGAGCTGTGATCGAGTCTGGCTCGAGTCAGCTAGAGGGAGATTTGAAGTTGGTGGAGGTGAGCTTGATTTTGGAGGTGAGGGGTTGTCCCAGTTGGGTAAGCTTAAGTCAGGAACAGGCCAAGTGGATGGAGTAGATTGAAGCTGCTCGTTTGTTGTTTTCAGATCAAGTTCAAGCTGTAGTGTTGAAGAACTTGCAGGTTCAGTAGATTCAACCCAATCATTCGAAGACCAAGGATCCATTCTGACGAGTTCTATGAGGAGTGAGCAACGGTCAACGGGTGGTTTTCACTAGAAAGATAAGTGGTTGTTTGATGTGAAGCTTGCTCTTGATGATGGACTGTTGAAATAAATGTCTGAAGGTTTCGATTGATCAAGTCCCAGCTCGACTTGTGGGAATCAACTTATGTGGTCGTTAGCTTCGCATCGGAACCAGACCAGATGACGGACAAGGAACTAGGATTCCGATTCCAATGTGTGAGTATGTAGGAGATTCGCTTGAAGTGTTTCTTTATCATCCAGGTTGAGTCAAGAAAGTGAAGTGCAGGGCCAAGAGAATGTGATGCCTTTTGTCTGGACCTTCTTGCAGCCACCAGCGCGGCGCACAGTACTCTTGTCCAGGCTGCGTAGCTCCGCGCAGGCTCTACTGCTGACATCTCAGCTTTGGGTGTCACATGACTCTGACAATTGAAAATAATGACAATGTCTGAAAAACCTAACTTAGCAAGTCCCTGCCCTCCTTTGTCGGAGTGGTAACCACTTGTCGCTGTTGAAATCTGAGCCCTACGCGCTCAACCTTGTTTCCATCCAGACTAGGACAAAGCAAGGCAAATGACATCATCATTCAATCTCACACCAAATCGAGATTCATGTTACCAAGGCACATATCTAGCATTGGTCCCCTCAACTCAAGTACTTAAAACTCTCCCTCTCAAATCACTTCTTCCCTTTTCTTTTCCTTGTCAAACCTAAAGGTCACTTATCTAGACCTTACATTTCTTTCTTCACTATATATCACTCTTCATACTATTGTAGCAATCTCCATGGTTCTTCCGCTTGACAAAGCTTAAACGTTAAAGTTTCCCAACTTCTATTATCTGGCTCAAAAAATTACTACTCTAACACTTCCCTTCCTATCAAATTTCTTGCAAACAGACCTCGTGCTCTACCTTCCTATCGACACCTTGCCAATCCTCAAGAAAGCCTTCTGGTCTTCTTGCTGTAGTAGGTTATAAATGACTTGTTTTCTTTTCTGTCATTCATTTCTAATACAGACATTGACATTAAACACATTCCTTTAGTCTTCTCTTCTGTTTTGTCTTTTGAACAATTTCATTGTTGTCTTGTCTCTCTCCCGTTGTCATTTGCCTTCAGGTTAGAGAATTTTTCCTTCATTCATTGTATTTCTTATTACTCAAAACTTATAAAGAAATACATGCCTTCAGTTTAAACATTCACAGTTGCATTGTGTCAACCGGAGGGAGGTACTTATGTGGAAGGGTGACCCCGAATCCTGAAAGCATTAGAAAAATTGTCTGGGACATTTTTGTAATCATCCTGTCTCAATTTTGTACATCAGATTGAATTTTCCTAATTTTTTGATTTTCTTGATCACCTCGCTGGTCTCTATCTTTCTAGCCCCTCCCTGTCGGCTCATCAGAATGATTGACAATCACTCGTTCCTTGTCTCTGGGGCCATGGAAGATGGCCTTTGTATCTTCCTGCATGTTCCTGAGTTTCTAGGATCTTTGATGCTAGTAAGATAAATTCATGATAATATGTGGTTTCATGCCCCATTTAATATTGATGGCCAGCCACAGTATTCATGTGGAAGGTCTTGTACATCAGATGAGGCACCCAGTACAGGAGACACCTCCAAAAGACCTCAGAGCAATGCAGTCATGAAAAGCTCAGCGGGCAGGCAATGAGGCACCTCACCAGCTCATTCAACAAAGTGATCAAATCTCCTGGAAAAGCCCCTCCGTTTGGTGGGCAACTTTATCCACCAATGTCAAAAGATGAACCCGACAAAGTGAATCAAAAAAGTCTAATTTTCCTAATGCTCTCAAGCAGGCAGGTTGACCTTGCACATAAGTCCCTCATTTGGAGGGTCCCTGCGGGACAGTGCCCCCCCTTCAATGGGAGGGACTTGGTTTAGTTAGCCTGAAAACATGTCACTGCCATGAGAACAGCTAAGTGTACAATATATAAAGACAGCAGCATGATTTCCTCACAGGAATCCTGATACATGAAGATTTATGCATATAAACTAATTGTATAACTTCCCATAGGAGTTGTGTGGTCAAAATCAGTTCAAAATCTCATTTGGATTTGTTCTGTCAGCTAGCAAAGTCCTGACAAACCATCAATTTTATCCCATCTAGTAAAAAGTGAGAGATATGAAATTTTGAACACCATCTAAATTCAGGGAATGCATGTGCCAAAACTTAATCTTGCTGGATATTCCCTTCTCAAAAATCCATATAATCAAGGGAAGGTTTCCATAGAAGCAGCAATGACTAGCACAAAACCCATTTTCAAGCCCATAAATTGAAGAAGTTTAACAACAGATCTCTCCCATTGTTCTTGTGCAGAAGAAAAGAAAAGTAAACCTTTTTGAAAAAAAAACATTCACCCCATAGTATGTATACTGACAGGCACTCAATTCACACTGAGTTTGTTGTTATTTTGTTTGCCAGCTTGTCAGTAAAACATAGGGCCTATCAACGGTGAAACAGATACAAGACATGTATTCGTATCGGATCGGATCATATTTATTTTGAGCCTGATACCAGTATCAGTATTTCCTTGGTTGGTGAAAAAATACATTGTATCGGATTTGGATTTAAAAATGAAAAAAAAAATCGTCTTCATTTTTTTCGTTTTTTCTTCAATACAGCCAAATATCTTATGTATCAAATACGGTTTTGGTGGGATCAGCCATCTGAGACAATACAGAATACATTTCTCACTTTTCAAATACAATACATGTGTATGTCTCAGGAAAGTGAGACAACACAAATCCGGTATTTTTGGGTATTCAAATTCTGAGACAATACAGATAAACGCCTGATACCATATCATATTGTCTCTGTTGCACCGTTGGGCCTATACTGTATGGCATGAAAATTCAATTTTTCATAATTTTTCAGAATTCATCTTCCTAAAATCTACATATGTATAACTAAAAAAATAGGCTTAGAGAGCCAAACAAGATGTCATGCAATCAACGGTGCAACAGATATGAGACATGTATTTGTATCTGTATTTTCTTTATTTTGAGCCTGATACCGGTATCAGTATTTTCTTGGTTGGTCAAAAAAATTTATTGTCTCGGATTCAGACTTACAAATGAAAAAAATTGTCTTTGTTTTTTTTTTCTTCAATACAGCCAAATATATTGTGTATCAAATACGGTTTTGGTGGGACCAGTCATCTGAGACCATACAGAATACTTGTCTCTCTTTTCAAAGACGATACATGTGTATTGTCTCAGGAAAGTGAGACAACACAAATCTGGTATTTTTGGGTATTCAAATTCTGAGACAATACGAATAAACACCTGATACCATCTCGTATCGTCTCTGTTGCACTGTTGATGCAATCTAAGACCAGTGTTGACCTCCAATTTACATTTGTTGCTTTTGTCAACGGCGGCGTTAGACCAAGACAGACAGGTGTGCAACTCAAGAAAAACCCTTCACTCACTGTGACCAAATCTTGCTTAGCTGTCCCATCCTTTTCTTTTCACCAACTGGTATTCCTTATTTCATTTTCTTCCATTTTCTTACATCTCTCCAATGGCTGAATATCAAACACTCTCAACTCAACATCAACTGACCAAACTGAAATCAATCTCATCAAAATTCTTTGGATCCTCAATTCAGCTAACTCTGCCTTTGTCAAGTCTTGAGTGGTTGAGAAAATTATAATCAATACCATCCTTCCATTCATCTTATTTTTGCTTCTTTCTATATGTTCTCCTGACTAATCATACCTGTCTTTCAATCTTTGCCTGCCCTTTTGTATGTTTCATTTCTTCCTCTCAGTTGTCTCTCATTGATCACGTTCCTTTTTGATTCTTCTAATTTGTTTTCCCAATTCTTTTTCATTTTAGTCTTGTTTATTTCTCAGCAATATTAATTTATAGGTTAATCAGTCAGCTTGATATTAACTTACGACTTCTAATCTTACAAGATCTAAATAATCTTCTGTAGGGCTGACCGAGTGAGGGGTTCAAGCTAGCTTATCTACCAAGGTCATACATGCCATCAAGTGATTCTGATTGATCGATTGCTGCACCTAAACCGATGTATGTATGTGTGGCCAGCAAGGGTGGAAATTTCTCTCCTTGATTGGTAGATGGAGGCTATTTTTCAACCCTTGACAATGCTACAAGATGATCGGAACCAAAAGCACATTAGGCTGCCCTTGTGGGCTCAGCAGTCTGGGCTAATTAGAAAAGGATAGATGCTGCTAGCTTCGCTCGTGGACTCACTTGGCGTCGGGCGTCCGCAGACCAGCTGATATCTGCCAAGATATCGAATACTGACCATAGAAGAAGCCCGGGGCCTTAGGCACTGAGAGTGCCAGAGGAAACTGTTTGCTCAATATTTGATCCCTTAGGTCCGGTATTTCGCCCCATCGTACTCAATGCCATAGACGCAGTCTGGTAAGCTATGGGTTGAGGGTGGAACTGAGTCGAATGATCCATAACTATTTTCGTAGATAGGACTTGGTTCCCAGGCAAGCTAGTTTGAATCAACCTTTGTAAGTATAAAGAAGCGCGTATGTCAGTCTAAAACAAACAAACAAAAAATGTTCATTAGTCTAACGGAAAGTTTTACATCGAATACACTTAGGTAGAAAGAAACAAACAAACAGAGAATCGGGCGGACTCAGTCGCCTTAGGGGTGCCCTGCGCGGCATGAGGGGCTTTTTGCCCCACTGGTTTGGCTTATAAAGACCCTCCACCTCGCACTTGTCCCCCCAGTTCATCATCTCAACAACTCCCACACAAAGACTTCGCTTTTCCCCCCAGTTCGGATTTCCAAATCCTCCTTCTGCTTTCTTGATGACTGAGGATTGGCTTTCTTGATTACTGAGGATTGGCTTTCTTGATAACTGAGGATTGGCTTTCTTGATGACTGAGGATTGATGATTTCCAATTCCTTGTGGTCTTCTTTGGCTGATTTCTCGAGATCGCTTCCAGTATATCATAATGGAGCAGTCCCATCGGTGTTCTTGGTTTGCGAAAGTTCAAGTATCCAATGTATCTGGATGACCCCGCTTGACAGATAGGTGGACGATTAGTTAATCTGGTTCGCTCTTGTAGCACCAAGAGTTATTGACAACCAGCTGCCGGCGAATCCACCCATTCCTTTGGCCTTCAGCACCTTTCATTTCCCTTTGAATTCAGTCCTTTCCCTTTTCTTCTTCTTCACTTTCTGACATTCCTTTTCCTCTTCGTATTCTTCTTCTTGATCCTGGATCCTTCCTCTTCGTATTCTTCTTCTGGATCCTGGTTCCTTCCTCTTCTTGATCCTCGTTCCTTCTTCTTCTTCGTCTTCTTCGTATTCCTCTTCTTCGTCATCCTCGTATTCTTCCTCTTGATCATCTTGATCATCTTCGTCTTCCTCGCATTCTTCTTCTTCTTCTTCTTCTTCTTCTTCCTCGCCATCATCATCCTGATCTTCTTCAGAAAGATTTGGCAAAAGGCGATGAGACTGTCCTTCTCATCTCCTTGGCGTCCATCCCATTTGATTTCTGAACGAATCCTCCAAGTTCGTCTTCTTCTCTTTCCGCCATTCTTCTTCCCGATCCTCATCCCTTCCCCCTTTCTCCAAAAAAAGAGTGGGCGATGGGACTAGCCATCATGGGCGGCCGAGACTATTGTCGACTGGATGTTCTCATCCGTTATTCTCAATGATAACTGAGACATCCAACGATTAGTTACCACCCCTGCTCCTCGCAACATCCGCCATCCCCGCCACAGTTTCCAACCGCTCCTTCACAACATCAGCAGCAACAACAACAACAACAACAACAACCATATCTTGCAGAGCTCTCGCGATACATCCGGCGAGGAATTGCTGAGCGGCCGACTGGGAAACATATCTCCTACGGTGCCGCAGAAGCAGTTCCACCTCTTCCGGCCTAGGGGGCTATTGAGGTAGGGATGCCAGATGCGCCCAAAGGGCAACATCTGACCTGGGTCGGGAAAACAGTCGGATCTCCTCTCATATCATTCTACGGAGCAAGACGAGATCCTCTTCATGTATATATAACATGGAAAGAGAACTTGTCGCCAAAACGCTTCCTGTTTTCTTGCGTCCAACGTTCGCCAAACATATGGTTGTGCAAGCTGATTCTCTGCTGGTCATGTCGACAACAACATGTGATCCCATGGCACAACGATCCTCAGTTGGCAGGGGCTTCCTGCACTCGGCTGAGATCTTCGGGCATATCCGAGAAATGTCCAGCGCATCCAGCCTAGTGCAAAGCACTCCCAGCACGGGCCAATGGTGGCTATGCTTGGATATTATGAAGAAACGCATGCCTCTGATTGTGGCCTGGGCTGTCGCCTTTTTCTGGCTGGTTTCACAAGGACAATGTCCGATACAAGTCATCTTCACCTCATTCCAATACGATGTCAATTACTAGACACAACAATCTTTGTACATGCTCTGCACTAGTGAGCTCAACTATTCGGGCATATCCGACAAACTTTTTCTTCTAAGTGCTCAGTGCAGTAGTAGCAGCAGTAGGACGAGTCGAGAATGCTGAATATGAGAAAGCATGACTCTGGGGGTGTGCTCGGAGGCTAAGATACATATCTCTTGCTTCCCAAAGCCACACGCATTTAAAAAACCAAACCACTGTACAAAGACACTCGCATAACTGGTGCCAGTTGACTGGCAATATTACAAAGGGGCCTTTGTGATCTTGCTTGTCAACTTCCACCGGTCATCCAAGTTTTCTTCACAGGGTTAATCGAGCTTGGTTGTGTCGAATAGACTACACTTATTTCCGACTTCGAAGGGGAGCTGCTGTCTGGAGTTGCTCCCCCTCGTCTGAACTCGTGCGTGCGAACATCATCCTCTTCGGGGATCCCACTACTGATTGGGAATGTGCGCAACGTTCACCATTCTGTCTAGAGTGTTGATCACCGTAAACGGCTGAAGAACGAAGATATTTCCTTCTATGAAAACATATTGACATATTCATTTCCTTTCAGACCCGAATGTTAATTTATTTTACTTTATTTTGGATTTGCATTGTGATAGAAACCGCCTTTCAAGGGGCTCTAGACTTGATATATACAAAACACAAGCAGGCTCCAAGGGACAATCTCGGATTATGTCGTTAAGTTTCATGAGGAGGTTTAGAGTTTGGGTCGGGCTGGCGATACTGGCGATCGAATTTTGAGAATGTGGATGCTAAGCCGGGCTGCGATGCAGGCTCGACCCCTGAAGATGCAGTGGCATTATTGTCGAGAGGTTGATTCGATTGAGGTTTCTGATGATCGGCGACCCTCTCGTGCCCTGTAATCCAGGCGTTATAAATGTCCCAAGCGCCTAGCCGTCTGATGAGCAGTCATTCATTCGACAGAGATAGAGAGAGAGAGAGGCTCAACATTCCCTTGTGTCGGTGGAGCGGATGCCCCTTCGGGCTTGGTCACGTCTTCGTTCGTTGATATCTTTCTTGGCGAAATATAGCCCTCCTCCACCAGCAACCCTAATAAATACCAAACATTATTTAACGTAATGCGATGTTAGTTATGTTTCAAAAATCGGTGGACGGAAGATTTATGGAGCCAATGATGAAGCTTGGGATTTTTGCTTACAACAAGAGACCCCAACCGAGAGCCATCGTACCAGGGGTGTTCATGATTTGATGAGAGGTGTGTGAGTGGTAACAATTTGAAGTGAGTTGAGTGCTGAACTTGGTGAGCTCGAGTCGCAAATGGTTTGCGCGACCAAAATGGAACGGGGATGTTCTGCACGGAAGCATTCCCCGAGTGTGATCGGGTATTTCGAGCTCCCCGACTTTGGGGCAGGTCCAGCACAGCCTCCAGCTGCCCCTTGATGAAAGATGGTTTCCTCTTGACCAAATTTGACCAGAGTAAATCTGAAAACAGATTTGTATCAAGATCGAAATCAAGGAATGACTCAGATAAAATGAGAAAACAGGTGTCCTTGAATTACGAGTTAAAAGGATGGATAAACCTAAGATTGAACGATCGAGTTACCAAACCCAGAAACACGTTAAGAAACAAAACAAAACAAAACTATACTGTGACTATACAAACATGTAAAGAATAACTGTCAACAAATCAAGCAGGGGTAAATCTCACTAGGTATTGCGTATATGTAAAAAGTGAGGGCTAGATCATCTATCCATCAATGGATAGAGAAAACAAAGTAAGGAAGTCGCGATTGGCGGATATTATGTATGTGTGTATGTGTGTATGTATGTGTATGAATGTATATAAACATGTGTGTATGAGATAGTCAAGATTTAAGACAAGTCAATCAAGGAAGAAGAACAGCAAGAAACAAGCGAGCAAACGAGATATGGATATACGGGGAAAAAAGAAACTACCCAAGCAGAAAATAGAAACGGATAAATTGAGAGACAGAAACAAATAAATAAAAAACGAGGCCGATGATATTGAAGAAAAATCAATTCATAGCATGGTGAGCAGAGGGCAAACAAAAAAGTAAAATGATCAATCTAGTCCAGGAAAGATTGTCGTCTCCGATGGGCACCAGCAGCCACGCCGGTAGAAACTCGTCGTCTTTCATGGACAGCATGGACGGGAAGATCGTGGTACGCGGGGTCATCCTGATGAGGATGAGTTTGATCGAGATGGGAGTCATCTTTATACGTCGGAAAGACTAGCGAATCCGCACAGAGGAACGCAGTAAGCAAATCAGATGTATGGGATGATAAGGAGGGAGACACTAGAGGGGACCGACCTTTGCGGAAGAGTTTGCCGATTTTCCCGTTCCCAGCTGGATGACTACGACCGCCGAAGGACTCGTTCGATCGTTGTAAGGGCCCCGAATCGTAGTATCCTTCTTCCTCGGTTGTCGCCCCAGTGTGGCCAGCGGAAGTCTTTCGATTACCTGCTTGGTTGGGGTGTCGATGCATGACCGTGCCAGGGGCGGACGAAGACTTGTCGTCGTTCTACACAGCAATCAGGAGAGAAACGAGGTATTTGGTTCCTTGTTCTAGCGGCGTTATCGCTTCCGGCCAGCCAATCTGTTGACGCGGCCAAGTAGCAAAGATAGAGAGAGGAAGACAAGGGAAAGATGGCTTACAGTCTCACGTGTGCGCGATCCGCTCCTTCGCCAAAACAGTCCGCCAGTCCCGTCGCGACTATTCGGACGACTCTTGCTGAGTTTGCGGCGGATCCGACTAGGCGTCTCGCGGGGTCTACCGTGACGGGTGGCAGGGGAGGCGGGGATGTGGGAATGAACGTCTGGTGTGCCCTTCTCAGAGTCGGATTTGTTAGCTTCGGTAGCTGCAGCTGGGTTGATCTTTAAGAGCTCGGAGCTACATAGAACGACGGCAGCAGGAAAGCCATGTGGATCAGTAACTCTTGACTATTTATGGTGTGCTGATGTCTAGAAACTGGAAAGACTCACTTGATCCTCTGCGCGCGCAGGGCTGATCGCTCCTGCATCTGCGCGCGGATCGTACTCTTGTAGTTGGACAGATCATAGTCGTCCAGGATCGGCTGCGGTGTTGGGGCTTGGTTTCTACTCCGATTTGGTTTCCCTTGCCCATTGGGCTCCTCGGCTTCTTCCTCTTCCGCCATTACAGCCTGGGCCGCCGGGTCTAACAGGGCTAAGTATCGCTCCGCTTCTTCCTGTTCAACCCCTTCGGCTGCCTGTAATTTACATTACAAACAATACGGTCAGATCGGGCTGTAGATCATTGCTCGATTAGTGCTGGTGGGAGAATTGTTTACCTCCAGTGCTTCTACCAAGCTCTCGCGCTCTTTTTTGAGCAGTTTGATATCTTTTCTCAAGTTGACAATGGTTTTGTGATGTTCGCGACGTTGTTCGTCGAGAGTATTAGCCAATTCATCGATCTGTTTGAGGATTAATTTTCATCATCATTGACGATCGTGTCGATAACAAGTGGGGGGTGTGCGTGTGATCGGCTTACCTCACGTTCGGCGTTCTGCAGTTCACGTTGGAAGACGATAGCCTTGGCGCGTTCGCTCTGCAAGGCTTCGGCCATACGTTGGAGGAGGATGTCCTTCCTAACGCCACCATTGATGCTGCCATCAGAGACCCTTCGAGGCCTGGACTGATGGTGGGTTGGCGTACTAATTTCTGAGGGGCCCATTCGGCTCCTGTTGGTCGTTGGCGCGGCTATCTGTTGTTGGGATTTGTTAGGACGGGCTAGGGCGTTGACCGAGGCGCGTGAGTGAGGGCGATGTCCGTTGCTCCAGCTGGCTTCTCCGCCACTAGCCGATAAGCCGGCTGCAGAGTGTTGTTGAAGCTGTTGCTGCTGCTGCTGGTGCTGTTGTTGCTGTTGTTGCTGCTGCTGCGCCTGGTGATCGGACGACTGATAAGAGTTTGGGCGATGGTCGCTGGAATACTGTTTCGGATTATTATTATTATTGTTGTTGTTGATGTTGTTATTGTTGCTGTTGCTGTGGGGTGGTTCGAGGAGTGCTGTGAAAGATTGACACAAACAGTAGGATGTAAATAAGACGCTGACAGACTCATACAGGACATACAGCACGGCTCAAACAACTGATATGGGTATTTGGTGTCAAGGGAAAACAAAAAGAAAAGAATGAGAATAAGGTTATTTATCTGGGGGGGCTGACATGGTGGGATCGGGCCTAGGTGACGGTGGAAATCTTTGCTGACTTCGGTTGGCTGTGGGAGGTTAGTGGGGCTGGACTGTGGGTGGGCAGTGGAGGTGTTCTGGAAGGGGATGATCGGTGGCTGGTCCGGTTGAGGGGTGTTGGTACCCGGGGGAGTGAGACTGTGGGTACCCGGGCGAGTAGTCGAGGGCAGGTTGCTATGGTTGTATCCGATCGGAGGGGCAGGGTGATCGATCGGGGATAAGTTGGGCTCCAGTGGTTGTTGGTGATGGTGTGAGCTGGGTTGGAGTTGGTAATTTGGGTTAGGGAGATGGTTATTGTTAATCGAACCAGTCGAGCCGATTAGAGGGTTGCTTGTTGTTGTGTTGAGGTTGTTCTGCTGGTTCTGGTTGTGGTTTCGCAGTTGGTCTGAGAGGTCCATGTCAGCCTCGTAGATGTTGACTGGCTTGCGATGGGTGGTCTGTAGGAACTTGGATGGGAAGTCGTCCTCATCCTCTTCATCCTCCTCCTCTTCATCCTCCTCTTCATCCTCATCGAGGTCATCGGATGATGAGATTGGAGTATTAGTAGAGTATTGCTGCTGGTGCTGTTGTTCTAGTAGCAGTTGTTCCTGCAGTTTGAGCTGGCCGTGGTGTTGGTGGTGGTGGTTCATCGTGGGTAGGTTGAAGGATATAGAGTTTGTCGACAAGCTGCTGTTTCAAAATTAATTCTATGGTAGTCTTCTCTTGCAGTAGTACTAGTATTTTGTAGTACAACAACAACAACAACAACTTGGAGTGTAGAGAAAGACAGAGTCAAGCTGCAGTGGGGCACAGAACAGATCAAAACAAGAACAAGTTCCCGATCGAAGAACTGCTGAGCTAATCAATCATCCTTTCATAAACCCATCAGCTTGTATTTGTAATTGCATACCCTACATAATATCTATTTATCTATTTATTTTTACCTCATCAGCCGATCCACCAACCATCTCACCGTCGATAACCTAACTCGAGCGACCATCCCAGAGTAGTCATGAAATCTGTGTAGCCGGCCAGCTTGCAACTCATGAGTCATGACCATGGGACGACCAGAAAGAGGTTACTTGACTTGAAGCTCACCTTCGGCCGATCGGTTGAAAAAAAGTAAGGAGGCATTGATCCACTTCTTGTACTGTACTCAGGTACTGGAGGACTTCCCGTCGGTCTGGGATCCTAGATTTAGCCTTCCTAAGAGCATCTTTACCGGTTGAGCTAAAAGCCAGCGGTTTTAACTCGCGGCTATCGCTAAGCTACTATAGCGAAGCCTATTCAGCCACACCGGTGTGGCATGAGGTTAAACAGTGTGGTGTGGTTTGAAGTTGAGGTGTGTGATTGTGTGCGGGAAGGCACCAAAATGAAGCACACTCACCGGTTTTTGCTTTTAGCTTGCTTGCGAGCTAACCGTTGCTAGATCTAGCAACGGTTAGCTCGAATCGGAGCCAAGAGCTAGTTTGACTTGACTTGAGCCCAGCCCGATGTGGTTGAATGTTGTGGCTAAAGTCCTTAGCTCGCGCGGATTTAGCCACCGATACGGATGCTCTAAAGCCAGATTCCAAATCTTGTTTGCTGATGAGAAGTCAATGTCACTTGATTCTCTTCACCAAATTGAGTTTGGGATCTAGGATTAGACCTTCCAAATCAAGGGTTCCAGATCGACGGGAAGTCCTCCACTGCCCATCATATCTGTAAGGCTAAAATGTCACATATTCTTGATCAACAGAGGAACCAATCAAATTCTGAACAAGCTGTGAAATCTAGCCACACAGATCCAATGGCCAGAGGGTTTGCCCTCATACCCTTAGCTTGACCCACCTTCAGGACCTCCCCAAGATTTGGGAGTTGGAACTCTATATCTTGGGAGTCGTTTAACCAAGGCCCTTTTTTAATATGGGTGTGGTGTTGAGCAGGTGGCATCTGCAAATCTCTGTATGCTCTCACCTCGATCACTCCACAAGATTACACAAGAAGTGTCACAGAAAGATCACAACGTTAAAGCCTCTGAACTTGAGATCGATGATCCCCGACTCCCCGATCTACAAGCCATAGAACATGCGAAGCATGTTAAGTTGGCTCTCAGTAGTCATCGAAAGCAGTACTATCAAAGGAAAGCAAATCAAGAGAAGAAAGACAAAAGCAAAGAACTATCAGAACTAATAGATGTGAATACAAAAGCAATCACTGCGAATGTTAAGACGGCATTCAGACTTAATGCTTGCAAAAGAAAAGCGTTACTAGCTGAGTATCGAGCAATCAAGAGGAGGCGAATAACCTTAAGTAAGTACAGAGTAAAGAAATTCGCAAGGTCTGAGAAAGCGAGCATTCTCAAATGCTTTGACAGGAGAGGAGGACCTTACGGACTAGTCCACACACACCAGTGGTGGGCATTAGTATAAATAGTCCGATATTCAATGGCCAAGTTGTACATACTCTTTTTACCATTATTTATTATCTCATCTTATCATTATTATCACCACATCATTGTATAGTCTCCTCCCAGATGTTTATAGCCATCTGTCTTGAGCTCCACACCAAGAACCCAAAAACTTCAAGTCACGAAAGTTTGTGGAATGGTGGAAAATGGGTCTCAAAGAATGAATATGAAAAAATAATGATAAAAAAACAAGATTTTAATATTTGTGAAAAAGATAAAAGAAAATCAACTTTTTTTGAAAACTTTAATTTTTTGTTTGAGTGAAAAGTGAATAGACAGAAGGCAAGTTTGGAACATGAAAAGAATGATTATAAATAAAAATTATTTATCCAAAATAAGTTTGAGCATGGTGGGTAGACACCCTGCAGTCAAAATTAGTAGATTGCAGTACCAGAATGCCACATTTCTTGATGAATGACCCCCTAGGCACCCTTTTTAAACCACCAAGTAGTCATTTTTTTCCAAATTTTCACTTCTTATTATTCATTTCAGATCTCATACCATCACTTCTGATATTTCATCTTTACCTGAAAGAAATATTAGAGCTGTCAGTTTTTGTGATTTTCTCATTTTTGCTTATTAAAAATTTTATAATCTTGTTTTTTATAATTGTTTTTTCATATTCATTCTTTGAGACCCATTGTCCACCATTCCACAAACTCTTGTGACTTGAAGTTCTTGGGGTCCCAGTGTGGAGCTCAAAACAGATGGCTATAAACATCTGGGAGGAGACTGTACATACAAAAACTCATATTCTGGTAGCCTAGCTCAACAGAATAAACAAACAGAAATAGAAAATTTCATTGCACAAACCTAACATGTGGATGTGGCAAAACTTGCCATTTCATGAGTGACCTAGAGTAGGATGACACATGATGGAAAGGGACCCAGAGTTCACCATTGGGATCTACAGAAGCCAGCTTAGACCATCTCCACCGCGCAGAGGCATCCGTGTTGGTAAACTTACCAGCTCAGGAACTGCGGCGCGCGGATAGAAACCCTGGGAAAAATTATTTTCCACCGCAGGGTGCTATCCCCAATCCCTTGTGTGTGGAAGGCCGCGGTCGGCGAAGGGAGGCAGGGTCCATTTTTATGTCTTTTGGGGGATGCAAGTGGCGGTTGGTAGGAGGGGAAGTCCGGATTTCACCAGGATTGACCCTGTGACACCGTTGGGTTGGGGAGGTACTTGGGTTGGTATAGCGATTGCACATCTAGCAACACTATACAACCCAAGGGGGGGGGGGGGGGGGAGGGGGGGCTATATTTACCTCTCCTTTAGCATCCCCAGTGGCAGGGGAAGTAAATTTAGTTTACCTCCCAGTCAGGGTTGGGGCCCACTCCAAGCTTAACTAATCCTCTCTGAGGAGGCGCAAAGTGTCTCCAAAGGAGAGGCTTACCTCCAAAGTTGCTTGCCTGCCTCAACCGAAATGAGTTTTCTGCAAACAACCCCTGATCTGATTTTGTTTAATTTTCTAAAAATATGTTCAAATATCGGTGAAACTCATGTGAAAACGCCTGTGAAACTCAAGCACCAAGCGCGCAGCATTACATACCAAAAGAGAGTCGCAAACCCAAACTCATCAAACGGTTAGGGTTCTGTCAGCTATGTGTATGAAACTTTGGCTTAATTAATATAGAAGCCAAGTACTATCACTGTGCTGAAGGACTCGTTTAAAGACCAAGATTACTCCTAGTCACCCTCAAAGTATTAAGTGGTCCAAACTTCCCACTTAAGAGGTTCAAAGTCCACACTCCTCAGTTAATGACACTTGAATAATCAAGAGAGCACTGTAGGAGACAATAACAGAATATGTTATTGTAGAGTGTTTGGAAGCAATAATTAATATTGCAAGAAGTAGCTGGCAAGCACCTGAGCTGAAAGGCTACAGTCAGAGGTGGTGGTCTTGCAGCAACTACTTTTTAAGGAGTTAATTAAGTGTTGAGTCTGGGCTAACTCTTAGCTTAATAATAATTCCAGTAAGAAGGTAGGGTTGGATTGGGTAAAAAGACTACTCAAAAAGTAGGTGGAGAATATTCACTGTACTCACTGAGTGTACTGGGGGTGAATATGCTAAGGAACCAATCCTAGGCAGGAGAAATCCTCCTTAAATATTCTAGAGGTCCTCTTGAGGCCCCCCCTAGAATATTCTAGAATCTCACTTTTGGTATACCATGGTAGAATTATTCCCCTGATGTAATGGAAATAATTCCACGTATTTCAAATAATGTATATTCGATGTCCCATGACATCATAATGCATGTTTATGTTGAGGGGCACAGGGTCGCAGAACTGAAGTCACAGACAAAAGTCTTGTGACAGTTTGGTGACACAATAAAGATGGTGGTATGGATTCAGTGAGGAACCAGGCTGGGAACTAAGCATGGGTCAAACTAAATACACTGCCGTAAGTACAACTATAGTAGAAGCATAATGCATATGTATGTAAGCATATGTGACTATTCTAACACACCCCCTTGCTGAAGACTATAGTTGAAGTTAAAAAGTAGAGATAAAAAAATCACTAGTAGTAATCAATAGTGGCATAAAAAAATCTCAGGGGAACAGAAAGTTGAAAGGAAATCAAGTCAGAGATCTTGAGGTAGTAAGGAACAGAGAAACTCCACAACAGAGAATATATTCAAAAATCAAACACACTCAGAGAATTGACTATTGACTAGCACCGGAGTTGTGTTTGTCAAGAAAGATAATATTGTGATTGAGTCCTGGACTTAGCCCCACTTGATGTCACAGTCATTGTCAAAACTGTCGTTCTCGTCGTCTACTTCAGAGTCATTTCCAAGAGTTGAGAAGGATACTGATCCAGCATGGGCCATCTTGGCGGTCTGTGGCGCCTGTTTGCTCTTGATGGAGGGGTTGGGACAGTTTGAGGAATGGTGTCCCTTCTGGCCGCAATTCCAACAGCCTAGCTTAGGCTTTATTTTAGCTGCCGAGACCAATGCGTCGAACACTTCAGAGGAGACCTGAGTCAATAATTCATGAGATTCAAGGGCTCCTATGGTGTCGTCTAGGGATACTTCATTTGGCACATAGACTAAGTGATCCCGGATTGGTTTCCAGGAATTGTCGAGTCCTCGGAGAAGACAATCACAGATCTGTTGATTGTTGTGGTGAGACCAATCAAGGTCATATATAGTACAAAATAGCTATTTACAGTAGTTTTCATGTTATTACAATCAGATATGCATATGCTACATAACCCTTTATCTTGTATCCAGTTCAGAAGGTTACAAAATAGTATTTTTACACATAGTTTGGTTACATAATATATAGTACTACATAGCTACAACATACTACATATAACACATCTCAAGATACAAATTAGTCTTCTCTCAGTACTTTCTTTCTATGATAATAATCTTTCAGTAAACATTAGTTATTTCATCCCAGATACCAATTAGTCAGACTACATATACTATTTCATTCCATACTTCTGCTTGCTTCATCCCAGATATTGGTTATCTCATCTCATCTCATCATTCATCCTCTTCTTTTCATACAACATTTATTCCATACATCAATTATCTCATACTACAATTATTTCATAGTAAATTTATTTCATACTACATTTATTTTATTCTACATTTATTTCATACTACAAGTATTTCATTCTTACATTCCATTTCAAACTCAATACACATGGCTTATATCACCTACATTCTCATCATACATCTCATTTCAACTCATTACTCATTGCTTATATCACCTACATATATCTTTCACCACACAGATTTCTCATCTCACCTCAGAATATTTATTGGGGGTTGGAAAAACGACTCCCAAAAATTAGTCGACGACTCCCGTTTTGGTCGAGGGGTCGTCGGCTGGGAGTCGTTCTTCCAACCCCCTATTTATTTCAGTCTTTTATTATCTCATTTCTTTTTGCACTACATATTATGTTTATCACAAACAGAAGTTACTTCATATTTTCTCCTTTTCAACATGTTTATTTCACACTACACATTTGTCAGCCACATTTATTTCATAACCACTTGTCTTTCAGATACAACTTATTTCATACCATCTTCTTAAATCAGCTGATATTTTACCACTAGTACCTGATCAGAACCACCCACATGTATATAGAGAAGACTCTTTCCCACTTACTGTGTTCCCCATGCGTGCATTAGAGAAGTAAACAGATAATTACTTAGCAGACATCACTTACTAGTAATTACCAGAAGTAATTATTATTGATTTTCCCCCAGAAGATAAGAAATTGAACCCAGAAACCATTATCCCCCAGAGCCTCATCCTTACCAGAATCCCCCACATCCTCAATCTCTCAGCAGGTGACTTTGTACAAGACATCAGTAATAAATCTCATACTAAGATTACCCACAGAAATAGCCACACCTTTTCTTAATTCTAGTGTAACTCTCTCCCAAGCCTTGA